TACGCCAACTTGTTAGGCTATAGTCACTTGTGTACCCCAGAGATATGTACACGGCCGCGCTGTGATAATATAAAGGAGGGCGCATTTCTGGGTCAACTGAATCCCGTGAAGTGAATGAAAGCTAATTCGTCACATTTCTATCTTATTTTCACGATTGAATTTACATGTAAATACACGAATGGTGTGCAAAAACATCTGATAAAGTCATGTGATATTTTCTATATAACCCCCTAATCACACATTACGTCATCGAAGGACAAATTATAGTTTGCAGACTATAAAATATATTTTTGGTAATGACTGTTTGAAATTTGGTGAATTCCGCGATATATCGATACATTCAGTCAACCATATTTAAAAACTCCTTTTGTGCTTTTTAGAAATCATGGGTTGACGCATCGTCGTTTTTAATTCTCCCAACCACATCTTGACAACTGTACTGTTTGTCAATCTCACACAATTGGGCGATGCCACTGATAGAATTAGTACTGAAAATTGCACCAAAAAGTTACTAATATCTTGCTTTACTAGAAATATATCCATACACAAATTATTTTGTAATCGCATGACGGTAAAACTGTTATGGCTTGAAACGTGCACAGAATGTGGGATACAGATACACGTACTGAGTAAAACTATTGATATATTTACCATGTTGTATCGTTTTGGGCATTTTTGAACGTCGAAAATTTTCTGTCGCCTTCTTTGGCGCGTGCCGGTAGTTTGGCTACACTGGTTCCTTGTATGATTCGTACGATATTCGTACAATTCTCAATGAATCAGTTTGACCAACAGAAATAATGACAACTTTAAATTGAACATAAACAAGAGGACTATGATGGTGTTTTATTAAAAATAAAAATTATTTTATTACACCTTAGTCAGCTAAATCGTTTAGATACGAAGCATTACTTTTTAGAGATGAACATACATACACTACAGAGGCCGAGAGTCGGTGGCGGTGTTAGCGCACAGAACTGTGATAAATTTGAAATATTTGGTCAATGTCTTACAATACTTTGTAAATAAATAATTACATCCAATTGAAATGCATAACACTATAATGGCAGCACGTTTCGTTGAGTTATGTTAAATATTAACAAACCTCTGTAAAATACGGTAAACCCTGACTTAACCGGGAGATACACGACAGTGGCTTTCCACTGCACGTTCCACTGCACGGCGTGCGACGTGACGAGTGGCGGCGTTAGTCAAATATTCAATAACAATCGAACAATTCCTACTAGAAATGTGTCTACGCTTTGTAAGCTGTGTCTACGAATATGATAAAGTAATCCCCGGTATTCCTCACTCATGTAACTATGTAATACCAATCTCATTACAATCCCCTGTAGGTATAGGCTACATTCCATATATATATATATAATATTTATTGTTATTTTTTGTTTAATCACGACTTTTGTTTTGTTTTACTTGCTATCATTGATTTGTAAAGTTGTTATCGTATCCCGGTCGCATTAGTAGTCTTGGAGCCTATACATACATCGGATTTTTAATGAGATTCGATGTTATACTTCACCCATAGACCGTTGCTAGAAAATCAACAAGGTGGACCACATAATACTGAAGAGAAAATAAATATCTAGAGAATGAAACATGATATAAAAAAATACTATAAACTGCATTCTGCTTTCTGGGGGCATTATGATATTTTCCCGGTTTCCCGGCATATATATACATATAGATGGAAATGAAATTCGAAAACAAATTCATAGCCAGTGAGTTTTCCAAAGAACCCCAGTATTATATTATCTTGTCGTAATAATTTAGAAATGAGTATTATTATTACCAAACGCTTCAGCGTGGTATTAAGATTTTGTTTTCAGGCTTGGGTGGTACCAAGGTGGAAAATGGTTGCACATATGGGGGGTAATTCCTGGAATTGCAATAGAGAGGGTTCAGGCCGAAATACATATATATAGTGTTTCCATGTTTCGTCTGATATTTCTGTGGTATTCTGCTGCTGTAAATAATGCAAGATTTGTTCCGAAATTCAGTGTGTTGTGTGCACTCCAGGGTTATTCGTTTTTTTGCTCAAAACACCCCTATTTTTTAATGGCAGAGTCGAATAATTTCACTCCCACTGGGAAATCTGCATTGTTACTTGAATGAGAGCTAACTAAACACATTTTCCAGACCGGCGAAAGTGTATGCAACAGCCAATTTTAACAACCTGTCACGTGATTTTAGTCCGAATGTCAACCTCAAAAGAGGCTAATCCATTTA